ACACACACACACACACACACACACACACACACACACACACACACACAAAACTGAATGGGCTCCCTGGGGAATCTCCTCACACCAGCTTCTTCAAACCGCATCCCCTCACAGAGACGTCTTGTTCCAGGAAGTTCCACTAGGAGGAGGCCCTTCCTCCAGGCACTAACGCGCTTCCTCTCTTACCCTGACAGATCATTGCCCCTCCGGAACGCAAGTACTCTGTCTGGATCGGCGGCTCCATTCTGGCCTCTCTCTCCACCTTCCAGCAGATGTGGATCAGCAAACAGGAATACGATGAAGCTGGTCCCTCCATCGTCCACCGCAAATGCTTCTAGGTCACCCCCTCCCTGCTCCGTGCGCAGCACACGACTGTGAATGTTTGGTGGCTCAGCGCCCTCAGTTCCTTTCCAAATCATCCCTGCCCAAAGCTTTGACTTGTTACTCGTGGGGTTTTTTTTTTGTTTTGTTTTGTTTTTTTCTCCTTTGTTTGTTTTTTAAAAATAAATCAGACATGTGCTACCCTAACTTTTGGTGCTGGCCTATCAACACCGAATCTGCGGTTTCCCGTTAAGTGGGACTCATTTATTATGGGGTGGCTCCCTCTAGTGGTCAAGAGAGGATGTGACACAGTTAGAAAGACAAGTTCCCAGGCAACAGGAAAAAACTCACTTCAACAGAGGAAATGATGTAAACAGGATGCATTTGAGAGTGCAAAGGTCATGCATTTATTACATATGATAATACGTATTGGTGCCAATAGAAAAAAAAAAATCTACACTGACTTTACAACTTGCTGAGTGACTATACATATAGGTAACCTCATAGGTAAAAACAAAATAATTTTACATGTATTTAAGATTTGGCAAGCAAAAAGGATTTATTAAAATCGCATTTTTTGTATTAAAGCATACAGCTATGCTTGAATATTCGTGTATGACTTTTAATTTGCACCAAGACTTGTGCATTATTTAACTTTAATGCACTTCAAAATTTGTGCGTTTTAGAAGGTGTATTTTTTCTTAGTTTGTTTTTTAAAAGAATATACTTTTTAAAATGGGTGGCTTGCCCATTGTCTGTCACTCAGGTCCCTGGGGATCCAAAGCCCCCTTCTGGCCTTTATTGGCACCAGGCACGCATGTGGTCCACACACACACAAGTACAGTACACACACACACACACACACACACACACACACACACACCATTCATACCTTTAAAAATATGATTCTAAATAAAATTTTACAGATAGACATTGTTATTTGCAGCACAATTTATTTCTGATGATATCCTTTGGGTACATTAATAGATATAGACTGAACATCATGGGGCCTCGTTTGAGACACAGCAACCCAAAAAAGGAAACTTCAAAATGTGCAAGAACAATAAATATCAAAGTTTTGGTCTGAAATATATAAATATAAAATATCAGTCACTTCTGGAAACATCATAAGAAATTCGGCAGCGACACATATCCATGGCAGGTATCTGGAGTGGGTGGTCCTGTATCTGGAGCATGTCACCTCAGATCCAGCACGGTCGTTTTCATGTCTTTTACTAATACATGGCTGCATATCTAGAAAAAAAAAGAAAACCAGTGTTACATAATAAGGTTTAATGCGCGTTCTTCTTTAGGGAAGGTATATTGATTTTCTTACTTTTTTTCTGAATTTTATAAATATTGCTGAATTAGGTTAGAGCCAACATAACATAAACATCGCTGAGAATAATTTCTGCTGCCTATTCACGTTGAACACCTGTGAAAATAATCACTGGGGTTGAGTCAGGCATCGAGGCATACACCTTTAATCACAGCTCCTAGAAGGCAGAGGAGGTGGCTTTCTGTGTGTTTGAGGGCAGTGTGGTCTGTGTGAGTTCCAAGGCTACACGGAAAGACCCTGTATTAACCACCACCACCACCACCACCATCATCATCCATGATGTCTACTCACACTGAACAGCCTGGGGTCCTTGGTGTGAGGATGAAAACCCTTCTTCTTACAAGTAGAAACCTCAAGCATGCCAGCATTGGTGAGCCTGAAAATGCCAGTGCTAAAGATAAGGGTGAAAATAAGCACAAAGTTAGGACCATCTCGGAAGTCATAAACACGTACATTTCCTCAAATGGGATGGAGGAAGAAAACACAAACCATGAACCCCCCTCCCGCCCGTGACTTTTACAACTAGCTCTGCCATGACTACTTTTAGAAACACTGGTCTCCAAGTACCTAGGGGACCCAAGAGGACAGGTAGCTGAACTGTGGAGACCCTACGTGAAAGGTCATACAGGTGTTCTTTACCAGATCAGATAGTTCTAATTTCTGTCCTAATGTCAGTGTGCTTTACGTCAATCATCAGGCATGTGGCAGTGTTGGGCTCTACGATAAACATGTCATTGAAACTATCTTCTAGTGTCCTCTGCATGTGAATCGACGGCAGGTGAGTATGAAGGATGTAGAAGTTGGCATCACAGTATCCATGTATCCTTTAACTTTCAGGTACAGTCAGGCCTCAGAAAATGTCCGCCTGATTCTTAAAATTCTAACTACTTGTAAACAGAGGTCTCCAGAAAATGAAAAGCCATTCTTGGGCTAAAAGATTTCCAAGGCAAGGCCACATGACCAAACATGTTGATTGTGGAGAGTTTGAATATTGTAGAGAAGGGCCCAATTATTCTGAGCTGTTTGCTTGTTCGTTTGTTTCCTTAAAAACTGTTCGCTGCCCACCTTTGTGGTTAGGACCATCACAAGATTTGGAAAATATTCTTAACAGACCTTTCACTAATCCAAAAGTTACAAATGTCACCAAACAACATGTGATCCCTACAGCACAGCTGTTTCCCCCCTGCTTTGCTGTCACCGTTCTACATGTTTTTGCCAATGTAGTTAGTAAATGTCGTGACAAACTAGCTTTGTTCTGTGGGTAATAAAATCTCACGGAACTACCCCCATGGTGAAGTAAATCTCTCAGGGGGACTTGAATCCATGTTCCTAGACCATCGAATTTGGCTCAAGAATAAAGTCCTTCTTTTCAAGATAAGACTTACATTTTGCGTTAACATATTACACAATAACATTTGTAGTCCCAAGCTAGGAAAGTTTTGGAGGTAATTGAGCAAGACTAGTAAATTTTTTCTTTTGAAAGAACAAAGAAGAGTAGAAATATGGTTTCAAAGGTCACCTGGGTTAGCATCCCTGATACATGTCATCACACTAGAAGAAGGGGAACTAGGAACTTCACCTTTAAAAGGACTTTAAAGAAAACAAAAATGAGTAAATAAAAATTAAAAAAAAATTATGGAGTTAGTTACAGGTACTAGCTTACCCAGCCCATCTCTTGCCTAAGGGCCTCATATACAAGTACCATGGCATGGTGGACTCTTGTCATACTTACTCTTTATGCTTTGGGGAGCACACGATGGCGAGAGCCTCTGGCAACATCAGCTGGTAGGAACAGTGAGTGTGAAGATCCACGCTGGATAGGAATGCAGTTTGTGTGGGGTGTGTCTACAGACAGGAAGGAAGACGGTCTCCTTAGGGAAGCTCTGCTTCAAACTTCTCCTGTAGCTTTCACTAAGCTAATGCACATGAAACACGTGTTTTGGTGAGGGCTGGTAGGATGGCTCAGTGGGTAGTTTGCCATGCAAGCCTGATGGCATGGCTTAGACGGCTGAAAGCTATGGTGGGGAGAGAACTGAGCCCTGACTGTGTCCCCTGACTTCCACGTGTGTGCCGTGGCACATGGACATGGCACATGGACACACATCACACTACTACAGCAACTCACTCAGTACTTACACTCACCACTGCTACTTAGCGCTCATAATCATGACACACAAATGCAAATTAATTGGGGAGGGCTGACGGAATTCTTCTTTCTCTACCATCTTCTTGTTGGTTTGGAGTGACTATAAACAAAGTTCCTAGCAGTGAATATGCTTTCCTTCTGGGAAAGAGTGAGACAGCTCCTCTGGCCAGAGGCTTTAAATCGATCAGTCCTCCATTAATCTAAGGAGGTAAGAATCCAGCTCTCTCAGTGCACATGCAAAGATCTCTAGACTTGGGAAGATAAAGCAACCTGACCGTGGAGATCAGCAACCCAGACTCTTGGACTCTTGTATATTCTTCTAGAATTAAAATATAGCACAGCACGTAGACTGCCAATAGCTCATCCTTTCAAACAGGAGAAGAGGATCTACACGTTGCTGATGGCGTTTGGGACTCATCAAGCTTAGCTACTGAAAATGCCGAGAGAGAAAAGAGAATAGAAACAAAATCCTGTCTATGCTCAAAAGTCAACCTCCTATAGAGCCACAGGCCCACAAGTCTCATGGACAAAATGCAGAGATTTAGCAGAGGAATGAGTGAGAGGGTTGACAGCATCTCTTCTGCCAGAGAATAACTTCTTTGACTAAAAAAGAGCAGTCTATGCCGTGGCAGAATGAAAGCTATGCTCTAAGGCACTGTGGTGCTGTGGAGGCCGCAACAGGTTGTCATAGAAAAACTACTATGCCCATCACTTTATTTCAGACTGAATGCGTCCAGGGAAGCACCCATGCCCCTCATTTTTGCCTCAAGGAGCCGTTTCTATGCTCATGAGGATGTTTATTAGGTCACACCATTTAAAATTACCACAACATCCTATAATTATTACAGTGGTATTATCTAACCTGCTATCAAATACAGACAGACACCTGCTGTATTTCATAAAATAGCTTTTACCTGGGGCATGGCAGATATTAACCTTCTGAACTAACTTTACCTCCCAGGCCCGATCTCTAGCTGTCTCCCATCCATGGCTCCAAAATACTAATTAATGTTCTCCATCTCCCCCATCCCACGCTAACTCATGGCTCCGGTCTGCTTCCTTCTCCTCTGATCCTCTTCTTCTCCTCCTCTCCTCGTGGTCCCTTGACCCCAGCCTCAGAACCCCGAACTCCACCTCTCTTTCTTCTGCCAAATGCCAAGCTTCAGAATTTTTTTTTATTAACCAATCAGCTTTAAATTAGGTGGAGCAAGGTTCCCACAACAAGGACAGCTATACGTGATAATGTGCTCGTCTGCACAGGAACAAGATCTTGAGGGCCAGTAATTAACTTCAAAATACATAGCACCAGGCCAACCCTCAACACGAGGGAATCTCTCCCATGGAAGCATGGTATTCCCATTGCAAAGGAAAATGATGGTGGTGGTGGTGATGGTGGTGGTGGTGATGTGGTCATGGTGGTAGTGATGATGGTGGTGGCGGTGGTGGTGGCAGCAGCAGTAAATGCCATTTGTCACAAAGGAACTTAGTACTAGGCAGGAAACAAATCACCTCCCATGAATTAGGACAGAGAGCTCTCACTAAGGTCTGTGCTGTTTTAACCCCCCACTCCCGTGTAGATAAGGAGATGAACGAGATAAACAGCACAGTAATTTCCGGAAGTCAAATTAGTCAGTCAAGCCAGGACATTTAAAACTTAAATCCAGGTCTGTCAGATCCTGATTCAGACTTCCTTCCTGAGAGGAAGCTTGTCTGGAAGATCCAGGCTGGTATTAGCTGCTGTTAGTTATTATGTGCTATAAAAACCAGGGCGACTTTGAGCTGCTTCAGAAATGTAACATTTGTGTATTTTCATTCAACCCCAACAGCTTGATACTATAAAACCAATTTAAATCTAAAGTACTGACAGTTTAGAATGATGGCAAATCTGTTATTTAAACAACTTAAATTCACTATGGTGTACACAACAGACACAGCATATGTCAGGAAAATGTTTGATTCTAACTTGGAGATTTTTATCAAGGAGAACACTGACTGGCCTGCATAGGTAATTTTAAAAACTGTTACCACTTTTAGTTATAATCTCCTTGATACAGCACACATGTGTCCGAGTATGTGTGCGTGTGCAAGCGTGTTTGCATAAGAGAGTGATATATGCACATGTTCATGTGCGTGCGGGCATAGAGAGGTTAGCATCTAGTGTGTCCCTTTATTGCTCACCACCTTATTTTTGAGTCAGTTTCCCCCCATTGAACCCGGAGCTCACGAACATGGCTAAGCTGGCTGCCTACCAGCTGCCAAGGATCTGCCTGCCTCTGTTTCTAGGCTCATGCCGCAGGTCCAGCATTTTAGGTAGGCACCGTGGTTTGGAACTCAGGTCTTCATTTTTATGCAGCAAGTACACGTACATAAGGACTTGACTCATCTCCCCAAGCCTTCTGTGCTACCGCATATTTTGCATTTTAAAAGACATTTTACATAAATAAATTCTGTTAGGCTCAGTACTTTAAAAGCAGCCATTTAAATCCAATAGTAAGGTACAGTATTTATTATTAAATGATGACTAGAAAATTTTGCTGCTCTCTTTTACAAATAAGTTCTCACACCTGAGGGGCAGTTTTGACTTTTCAAAGGGCTTTCATCTGCTATCTTGTTTACGAATTACATCCGGTCAGTGTGAGAACTCATTAGCTTCATTCAGTCGATGAGAGAACTTGAAAATAAGGAGTTAGCAGTCCTGACTAAGCTAGAGTGACTTAAAGGCAGAGCAGGAGTGACGTCTCCACCCTCCTAAATTATAAAGTGTGTGAGTGAGTGTGTGTGTGTGTGCGCGCGCGCGCGAGCGCACACGCCCACACTGCTCCTGCCTGGCACTTTCCTACAAACAAATAAAATGCAAAACAATCCCTGTTCATTCTTTGGGGTCTATTGATGACACCCAGATTGTGCCTTCGAACTTTTTGGCCTCCATCCCATGCTAATGAGATGACATGTCTCTGTCAGCTATCATTAGAATGATGGCACTCTGTAGGGGAACCTAATCAAAGAGACAGCAGTGACAGGTGTGTCCTTTAAGGATGTGACGAATAGCAGCCCCACAGATGGGATTTGGGGTGAGGAAGTGTTCTCTGCCTCTTCCACTTTGAGGAGAGAGCACCAAGATGTTGCCTTGAAGCAGAAATTGGCTCTCACTGGACACCAGTGCCAACACTTCGATGTTTCTCCCAGTCCCTAGAACTGTAAGAATGAAACCTCTCCTCTTTGTAAATTATCTGGTCTCAGTATTTTACTATAGATGCATAAACAAACACAGTGCCCAAGATTGAGTTGTGTATAACTAACTAGAAAAAAAAAATTAGATAACTTGAACTATATAAAAAAAAGCAGACTACCTTAATTAATAAGAAACCATAGTTTTTCTGAGCCTCTAAAAAATGTTAAGGAATTCACTAGCATTATTTCCTTTAATATTGAGCATCACATGAAGTCAATTACGGTTCCCACCCTGTGAATGATGAAGCTGCTGTCACAGCTAACCTCACTCGACGATGTTTCTTATCATGAACTCTTAGCAGAACTGACATTTATTAAACTTGTGTCTATTTGATGTATAAGCGCAGTTTCACACCTACAGTGGCTGGGGAGTGTTAAAACCCAATATTCTAGCCGTAGCCATTTGTTCAACTCCCTGGCCATTTTATGTATATGTTTCTTCTGTGCAGGGCAGGGCACTGGAATGTGTGGCCATCTTTACTATACGCAAACATTGTTTAAAAGAAGTGTCATGCAAAAAAAGGTTTATAATCTAATTTCAACCCACAGCAAAAAAAAAAAAAAAAAAAAAAAAGGAGCCTATTGCACAGTTAAGAATCTGGCTAACGCTCCATTAGATTATCTGAACTCATATGAGGAAGACCCACTGTCATGTATTAAAAAAAGTATGAGATATCCCTTTCAGGTCCAGATGTGACAGATTTATATACAGCTCAGCACTGAATAAACTGCTTTAGTATCATGATACTTATTACCTCCAGGAAAATATGAAAACAAGAAGCTATTTAAATTCAGCTAAATTCCTGTCTGAAGAAAACAACACACCATACAAAAACAAACTGAAATCTAAAAGGCCAAACGTACATGAATCCAGCCCAGCGTGAGGAGACCATGTTGATCTTGAACACTGAATAACTCTTCAACGTTCTCCACGTCACAATAGTCTGGGCCTGCAGACTGCTTTGGTACGACTACATGAGTGATAGTGAATTCATTATGTGTCTAGAAAACAATCATCCAAAGAAAGTAATAAGCCTCTGACAGAGGAAGCATCTGAACAGGACGAGGGATGTTATCGACTAGCAGAGCTGGCCACCTGTAATGCCCCTCACTACACACTGTCACAATTCAAAAAAACAAAACAAAACAAAAAAACAAAAAAACAAACAAAAAAAAAAAACCAGAAAAACTGAGTGCTAAAAGTTTTGGGCATACATTGTTTAGGGCTTGAAACCCATATCTGCTGAAGAAAAAAAACAAATAAATTAGGAGAGCAATGCATAATTATTAACAAATAAAGCCATGGCATACTTAACCGACAATGGAAAATGTCTTCACACAGCAAGGCTGGGCTTCTTTAGAGGGACAGAGACTAAGTTAGCAAATGCGTGCTGCTACTAAAAGGCATTCCTAAGAATTGTAGGGGCTGGTGTGTAATTTTTAGTAATTGTATGTAAGAATTATGAAAGAATTAGGACTTTTATCCAAAAGTCACCAGTGGCTTTTACAATTAAGCAAAGAGAAAGAAGAAACACATCGTTCTCCTTGGGGAAAAGTATGGAAAATAAAGGGTCTTGAAGTAAAGATTGGGGTTTTTAGGTCCCTGGGCTGTGAGATGCTGTCATCCTCTGAGCCTGCTGGCCTTCCCATCCTTCTAAAAAGGCCACCTTCTCTCCACCTCCATGGTGAGCACTGTTCCTTGCATCTTAATTTGTGATGTCATTTTTCTAATAGAGTTTTACGGTGTTTCCGAGATTTTAGAGTTCGTTTTTTAGAAAGCCGAATTCACAAATACCGGCAGTAGTTTAAGGGAGTTAATTGTATAAGATTAATTTCAGAATATTAACTCCCCTCCATCTACCCTGCTTTTCCTATCGTGGGGAAGCCAGTGCTAATCAAAGAATTCCAGAGATGAAATGAGACCGTACCAGTTTTCCGCAGAGGATCCCGCAGGTTTCTATTCCTCTTACTGTGTTAGATTCAGCCAGCAGCAGAAATTTATGGCAAAGGTCTCTTGATAAAGCTACACACCTCAGTCCTTCAACCACTAAGTCTAAGACAGAGAAAGGAGAAACATGCTAAATAAAAACAAACTTGGATCTTGTTCTTTAAAAACGAATTTCAGCAAGCTACTAAAGTACAAATTTCAACACTGGAACCACCAGGTGTTTCGCTTTCCATGGTTTAATTAAAAAAACAAGAACAAAAATCTCTTGAAAGTAAGCATTGGGTAGAAGGAGGGCAAACTGACACATATGTTTCATACACAAATTATTTTATGTGAAAGTTTATTAAAAGGCAGCACTGTTACATAGCTGCCCTCCGGAACAACTCCTGCATGTGTGTTTTCTTTCTGCACACCCCAAATATGGCAAAGAACCTACAGGCCACAGTTCACACATCCTAAGGCACAGGATGAATATTCCTTACCATGTTGGCTATGTGCTACCTTCTCTCTTCATGAACATTGTTGGGGACAAACAAAAGAAACTCAGTGATAAGTGCTACCATTTCATTTTCAAACTCCGTTTAATCATAGGGAGAAAGGTCCTAATCATAGGTTCAAGGTCCTAGGGCCTAGGGGACTTCCCAATAGCTGAACAGCTTCTGTTGTAAAAAAACAGTTGTCTGAGTCCAGACATCTCAGGGACAATTTGTAAGGATACAGTTGTCTGAGTCTAGACCTCTCAGGGACAACTTCTCCATCTTGGTGGCAGGGTCAAACAAGTTCATGTTCACAGGCCCGGGGACCTACTCCTATCCTGACTGACGGAAAGTTCCTTGCCCAACCCCTTATGTAAAAATATGATTGGACACTGCCGCAGCCCATCCTGCTCCCCCTCAATTTATAGCTTCATCCTTTAAATACGCTGGACAACGTCCCTTCAGGGTCGTAATTTGGCTCCCAAGTCTGTTCCGTGGCCCCGATCAATCAATAGCAGCTTGATGACAGTAAATTTTTGTCATCCGCATTGACTTGGTGTTTGAGTTATGTCGGATTTAAATGGACCTCAGAACAATGGGAGTGATCTGTAAACCACAGGACATTTTACTTTTGGAAACGATCACTAGCAAAGAAGCACGCACAGTGATTGCCCTGGGCGCCTCTGTGGAAAAGGATTGCCTAATCAATTTGGGGAACTTGGTAGAGGTGATACATACGGCAGTGTTTCAGGCCACTAACTGCTGGTGGAAAGCCACAATGTTCACAGGTTAGCTATCGATGTGACTGAGACCCCACCAGTCCAGGCTACTGTCATATGCTTCACCAAAGTATCTGACTATTGCACAGGGTCTCAGAAAACAATTTTTTCACTGTCTTTCCTCTCCAGTGTCTCCCTTTAAGATGAATGTGCGTCTTGAGGAAAACACCGAGAAGGAAAATAAATGCTTGGACTCCTCATTCAAAATCTCTATTCAATATCGAAATATGATTGCTTCCTAATCAGGCAAGTTATGTGGGTTGGATTTTAAAGTTAGATATAGTCAGGGTCGGATGCACCTGTGTCCTCTATCACTTACTCTGAACAGCACTCAGAGTGGCTGCTGGCTTTAGGGCCCTGTTCACTGGAGGAGAGTGGTCGGCAAAATCCCTTCCATCGCTCTTTAGAGGCTGATCCGCAAATACATTCTGCAGAGAGTTGTTCTGGCGGGTGGAAAAGCAGGACAGCCCACTTCCGTCAGTCTGCTCCAACAGCACCCTGGAGTCCTGACCTCGAATCTGGCCCCGGGCCAACTCCTGCTTCTTGAGTTGATCTTCAAAAAACAGGAACTGTTCGGATTCTAGTTGCTGCTGGCGCATCTGAGCGATCCGCTTGCGTTCTGCCTCTATCAGTCTCTGGTGTTCCAACTTCTTGAGAATTTCAGCTTTATATTTGTTCTAAGATGGTTGCCAGAAAAAAAAAAAATGTTAGTTTCTGAGACAAAAAACACCAAACTGAAAGTAGATAGTTTCAGTCTTCTGGCAGTGAGAGACAGAGACAGAGACGGTGAGAGAAACAGAGACATAGACACAGACACAGAGAGACAGAGTTTCAAAGTAACAAAAATAAATAAATAAATATTGCGGCTAAAAGGCTTAATTTGATGAAGGAAAGTTTCTAAATTCATCGTATTTCACCGGAGTCAGCACAGCAGCCATGCTTTCTCCATCCCCCCGAGCGTCTAAATACTAGACCCTGCAGAGGACGACCCATGCTCCCATTACAGATTAGTGAGAACACCCCACGCCAGCCAGCCAGCCAGCCAGCCAGCCAGCCAGCCAGCCAGCCAGCCCTCCTGCTCTGGGATTGTTTGCAGAGGTAGAGAGACTGGAGTGAAGCAGGCAGCATCTGCAAACGGTCACTACGAAAAGGCAGAGTAGCATGTCTAATAATCTCAGAAGACTTCAGAATTTGCATCCTTAATCCAAGAACCTATGGATTTACTGGGTAATCTCTCCTTCCTTTCAATGCCTGTTGTTCTCCTTTCACCATGTAATGAAAATCCAGAAATAAAAAAAATCCACTGAACTATGATTATTTTTCATGTACATGGTTAGTTGTTCTATCTTGATGGAATATTGAATTTGAGAACTAAATTCACATTTCCAAGGCCTACATAATTAAATACATCAAAAACTATGCTCCGTTCTGTCTACTTTCAGCTGCTTCTGTTCATCTGAAAAAAAAAAAAAAAGTGTTAGCCATCTGGCTCAAGGTTACATTGGCAGGAGTTGGTTGAAAGCTCTATTTAAATCACTGTAGGAAATCTATTTCCTAATGCATTGCTTTATTAGATGTTTTAGGAAATGAACATACCACATCCCTAGAGCATGTGCTTAACCTGGACACCCACATGAATTTTTTATTAGTTTTACATCATTACATCTTCAATTTTTAATTTAAATGTATACATTTCAAAAAGTCATACACAAAATTTAAAAATCATTTTTCACAGAAAAACGTAAAGAAATAAATGTGCCAATTGAACTTACTTTGCTTTGCAAATATTCTTGGTATTCTACGTTATATTTCCTTAACAGGTCCTTTTTCAATTCATCTGTCCTTGGGAATGCAATCTCCTTCAGTTTCTTTCAAAAACACACACATATCAGTTAGTGAGATTTTCAATATACCCTTTCAGAGCATCAGCTGAGAAAGAAAAACAGCTGGAATGTATATTAGAAATCAAGTTATAAAAAGCAGAAATGATCTCAGAAAAATAAATCTATTCTAGGATTCCAGAATACAGCTTTTAGGAATGAAAAAAAAAAAAAAACCGTGCATGTGTGTGTGTGTGTGTGTGTGTGTGTGTGTGTGTGTGTGTTCTTTGTAGGATAACTATTGATTCAACTAGTTAGATAAGCATTTTAGGTAGGTACCAATATAATTGCACGTTGCATTTGTAAATCATTCAACATTGATGTTACAAAGGGTATTAAGGGGTATACAGTGGCTCGGGATGTCAGAGGTAAAAAGCAGCTAAGGACCCTTTCATAAAAATTCATCTTCAAAGTCCTAATACCAGATCTACTGAATTCATATCTTAGGAAGGAGTGAAGGAGCCAGGATCTCAGACAACTTCTTCAGTGGTCTCACTGACAGGAAAACCCAGGAAACTGGATAGAGTCCTATCACCCCCTCCCTCTGGAGGAAAGGAAGCAAAAGCCTTGTGAGATTGGTTCATATAAGTTGCTGGTGGATGGCCTAGTTAGGAGGAGGATCCAAGCATCTCAGCTCCAGCTAAACTCTCCCTCCAGAATTTCTCCCTAGGAAGTAAATAGTTACATCACTTAACAACAGGGACATGTCCTAAGAAACATATATTTCAATGATTACATTTCTATGTAGAAAATTACAGTATCCACTTTCACAAATGAAGATAGTTACAATGTCACTGAGCATTAGAATTTAATGAGAATTCTGTCATCTACAGGGTTCAAGGGATGAAACCTCATGGAGCAAACTACAAGACTGTAGCTAAAATGAGGCCACCTCAAAAATCAATAGTTATTTCAAATAGTTATTTCATCCTGTAGAGAGCAATCAAAATAAACTAAGATGGCTGCTTCAAGCAAGTACAGGGAAACTACCATTAAAATGTCATAGCTGTTGGAATGGGGTTCTTGTGCTTAAACTCTCCAGAGCATAAGACAAGGAAGAAAGGAAGCTGTGAATCAGCAATGGGTACTTAGGAGCATTTGATCCCATGGTTCATTGTACCTTCATGATGTCCTGCTTCTCCGGTACTTCACACTGTTGGTAATCTCGATGGCCGGGAAGTTTTTCTACAAACAATCTAGAGAAAGAGAAAAGCATAGCATTAACATTCTGCGACAGCAAAAAGCAAGTGGCTTTCTAACAAGCATTCTTAAAAAAAAAAGATCCACTCAATAACTTTTTCCTTAGCAATGGTCTTTCCACCCACCTTTTCAGTAAAGGTTGGTACGACTATTATTTGGACTCTACAAGTACTTACTATGTTAATGTTCCATCTTGGAGGGATGCTTGCTAAGAACAGGGTATTCTGAGGGGAGGTAAACCTACCATCTTTCAGGGAAGCTCCTTAAACTCAGGAAGCAAACAACCTGAAAAGTTCAGGAAATCCCTAAAACTGATCAGATTCACTAGGCCCTCCTTTCTCAAGCACTTATGAACAGTAAGTACTGCTAAAAGACATTCTCAGACAAGCTGAGCTACCTAGAAGGGGCCTAGACCACCTGAATGGCCTGAAAGAGACAGATTCCAACCTGTTGAGCTGCCAACACGTTGTGCTGTGTGCTCCAGGTTTCCAGGTTTCATGAGCTGTCACCCGTGCTGGGAGTGGGGTTTTGATATTGCAGCTGTCTTTGAGTCATTTCTGTTCCTGTATGTAACCCTTCACATACACTCCTGTAAATAACCCCAATAAAATCCATTTGGGTGGTATCCTTTCTTTGGTTTGTTGTCAGTTCCCTATGTGGGGTGAGTAGACATTCACGTCTCCCCAGAAACAGTGTCACACAATAAACAGCAACAACGAAAGACTGAGACAATATTTCAAACAAGGTGAAAGACAAAGAGTGACACCTCAGGTTGTTTTCTGCATGCTGTGGCCTACGTGCACCTGTTCTCATGCACACAAATGCACACACCCACATAGCCATCACACACACACACACACACACACACACACACACACACACACACAGGAGCGCGCCACATGCTCTAGGACAGGGGTTTTCAACCTTCCTAATCTTGTGACCCTTTAATACAATTCATCATGTTGTGGTGACCCCCAACCATAAAATTATTTTTGCTACTACTTCATAATGTAACACTTTGCAACTATTACAAATCATAATAGAAACATCTGTGTTTTCCAGTGGTCATAGGCAAACCCTTGTGAAAGGGTCATTTGACCCCCTCCCCCAAAAGAGTCGTGAACCATACATAGGTTGAGAAATGCTGCTCTAGATGAAGTAGTATGGCTCCTCTTCCCAGAAAGCTTATGCTCCTATGGGAAGAAAGTGGCATAAATTGTGACATTATAGCTGTGAAGAACGAGATGGGTTAGTCTCACTACTGAGCCTCAATCGCTCCCGGACCTTCCTTTCATTGCTGAGGCTCAAAATGGTCTAACTGGTTTGAACGTGAAAACTCCCATGGTATGCACACTGCCATATCAAAATATCACAAATGTATCGTTCCAGTGTTCTCAATCTGAAGACCACTGAAAGACTGGTTCTCAACCTTCCTAAGGATGTGACCCTTCAGCACAGTTCCTCATATTGTGGTGACCTCATCCATAAAATTACTTCTGTTGCAACCTCATAACCATAACTTTGCATAACTGTTAAGAATAATAATGCAAATACCTGATATGAAGGATATCTGATATTCGAACCCTGCAAAAGATTCATTTGACCCCCAAGGGGGTCACGAACCATGGGCTGAGAACGGCTCCTCTAAAACAAGACTTACGTTATAAATTTGTTATAAAGAACAAAGGCATTTTCCAGGTTTCCTTCTTCCAAGTACACAGATGCCATCCTCTCCATTTCCACTCCGGACCTGAAGTAGCGGCGTGGGGTGATGTCTTCATTAATGGAGATATTACAACCAAGCTTGCTTAGGGCGCGGACCCGTTCTTCTGGGCTTAGAGAAACATCTGTGTGGTCAGGCATGGCAGCTAACTTTTTCTGCAATACAGCATGTATATCTCTGATTACAATCCTTTAAATGTGCATAACTATTTAATTTGTGTATTTTCTGTTCCAAAACCCAATACTAATACCTCAAAATCCATTCAACAAAATAAAAAATCTCTTTGCATAAGCACACCCCAAAAGACACACATCCAAGAAGAATAAACACTTTCATGGGTATAAGACCTCTTAATAAGTTTCAAAGTAGATGTATGTGGCATTTCCTAGGTATTCAAATGTTTCGGGTAAAGCATCATTAGAGTTCATGTAATCTCTGGGTGTGACCCATTCTGGGTCACTCTTGTTACACTAAGGCTCACACCATTGACTTTGAGGTTCACCAGAAAGCTGCCTGCATTAAAGCTGTTAGGATTTGATTCTATTCCACAATATATCTGCTTTCATTAGCACAATATATCTGCTTTCCCTTCACTGTCACAGAACAAAAGAAATGACAACAACAATAACAAAATCTACTGATAAGTCCCAGAAAAGCTCTTTCAGGAAAAACAGCACCCCCCCCAAGCCATTTCTTAAACATAAATAAATCTATTAAACTTCCACCCAACAGTAATTGCTCTCTTACTTAGTTCTCAACAGAGAAAATAATAATAAATTATGGAGAAAAGTCACATCTAATGCATTCTTTGACTTTTCCTAATGAAGCCATTATGGACATCCTCGGAAGTGCAGAGAGCATTCGTATTCAGGATAATGATTCAGAAGAAGACAACGTGCTTCAGAGATGCAAGGCTTGGATTATCTTCCTCATTTATTAAGGGCCCAGCAATAAATGTTTTGTGTTCTTTGCTACAACTCGAGTTCAGCTCTCCACATGTGAGAGCAGCTGTTCAGCAATGGTGAAACAAGTCTGGCTCCTTGCCAAGGCGATGAACCCAACACCCAGACCACAGCTTGTTTTCCCCTTGATCAGACTTGTCTGTCTCAAGAGTATGGGCCAGGCACCTGCAGCATCAGCCGCAACCGGGCCCTTCTTAAAAATGCAAATTCCTAACAGGCTCCACTGCCGCTCCACAAACTCAGGGTCTCTGGAGGTGGCTGCAAAACTGAGGCATCAGTTGGTGTTCCTCAAAGAACCTAATGCATTCTCCAGCTTCACCCCGGAGAAAACTCAGCTTCTTGTGGCCTTCCTTAATCAGCTATTGGTAGCTCATAAGCCCATCTATAGTGAATGTGTAGATTTGAATAAGCGTTCAACGTTTTTGTTCATGGGAAGGAGTGCAGGAGGTTAGATACATCTGTGTCATCTGATTTAGTTTACTTCCAATTTTAAGGCAAGTAGAACACTAGAAATGTGAAATGACCTTTGATTCTAACGGCTTTATACATGCACACATACATAGGTGTATATGGCCATATATGTCTGTATGTGTTTATACATATATATATGGCCATATAACTTTTCTTATGGTTACATTAAGCTGAATGGAGCCATACTTTTTTTTTTCTATCTTAATGCTGTTAACTTTTGATCAGACCTGTAGCAATGGACATGAAAGCTCCTTCCTTCTATTTCCTCCCCAAGGAAGTGCCAGGGACTGGACTTCCTCTCTGCAAAGTCTCCAGGTACCTTTTCTGTGACTTGATGGAGAGCACATACTCCAATTAGAGTTTTGGAAATGGTAAGATTCGATTTCCTGCATTCCCAGAGGAAAGAAGTTTCTGGTCCAAGTGACCACAATAAAAGGCTACTCAAAATTTTGATCCTCACCTTACACATTTTCATCTGTTTTCTCTTGGTCGCAAATTGCAAAGCTAGAGACATGACGAGTAGCAATGTGGCATATGCTTTTCTCACCTAAGTGAGTTCATGCTAACGTAAAACATATCTCCTTCATTAGGTAACAGGAACCAAATATAGTTAGCATGAAGAATTAGTTTAAAGTTTTAAAGCACAATAGAGTGACAAAGAAAGGGGCACAGATTTATAAGAGACTGTTAAAGTTTCTAAGAGAACTAGAAATGATAGCTGCCCTGATTTGATCATTGCAAAGTGTATACATTTGCTTATAAATATGTTTTTAAAAGATTCTGTTGGAATTTCTTAAATGCATTTTTTTAAATCAACATCTTTTCATGATAAAATTCCTGTAGAAAGTAGGGATGGAGTGAATCAATATCATCTTAATAAAGGTACATAAGAGAAACCAATAGCCAACATTATGTTAAACAAACAAACAAAAAAAAAAAACTTGAAGCATTCTCACTATAATCGAGGACAAGACAAATAATGTCACCACTCCTATAAAATTCAGTGCTTGAAGTTTTAGCTAGAACAATAAGACAAGAGAATGAAATAAGAGATACAAATAGGAATGGGAAAGGTCAAAGTATCCCTGTTTGCAAATGATTTTTATGAGATGCTCCAAGGATTCTACCAGACTATAAAATTAACATTAAAATCAATAGCCTTCCTATATACTGTTAAGACAGACCAAGAAAGAAACCTGGAAAACAATCCCATTCATAGTAGCTTTAAAAATACCTGAAATTCCTCAATCTGTGCTTTATTTGCTCTATCTTTATCCCTGCACATCTTGAAGGCAGGGTGAATTCTGAAGTTTTTGTGGATGGGTTGGTGTTCACCTCCCTCTGCTAGGACTAGTCTAGTAAGAGGATGTCCTCTTCAGTCTCTATGGCCTCTGCTACTGGGAATCCCTGCTTGAGTCCCCCTCATATCCTCCCAGAAGCCTACACCGACTTAGGTCTTCAGATTGTCATAGAGATGCCCCACCCTTGGTTTCTCTTTTTTCTACAGGCCTCTGTCCTCTCTTCCTTACTCTCCCCAGGTCTAATCTCCACCTTCTTAACTCTGCACCCTCTCTCCTACATTGTTCCCTCTCTTGAGATGCTAATTCCATCTATCTATCTATCTATCTATCTATCTATCTATCTATCTATCTATC